CTGTTAACGAGTTGAATAATGCGGACTCACATTGAGGACCGCGGTCTGTAGTTACCGTAATAAGACAACCAAAATTAGCTACCCAACGCTCAACTAAAGCTTTAGTTACGGTTTCGGTCGAGACGTCGGTGATTGGAAATGCTTCCTGGCAACGCGAAAAACGATCTACGCAGGTCAGAAGGTAAGCGAATCCTTGCGATGGTGGCAATCGTCGAACGATATGTAAGTAAACGTGATCGAACCTGGCGTCGGGAGTGCCGAAAGTACCGGGAGGGCTAGCGGTGTGCCTGGTTACCTTCCATTTCTGGTATGCCAACCACCAACGAGCCCAACAGATCCACACAGATCCATCTCAGGGATCTATGTAATGTGTATAGGTCGTAACAATTCCTCGTTACCTTGCTACAGCGCTAACAGTATCAAAGGTAGCACATTTCACACTGAATATTCGCAATCACATACTCTCCACAGCCGCCGCACTCGTTAACCTCAGTACGTGTAGACATTTGAAAGGTGAAAAAATGTTAAAAATTTAACACCAATAAAAATGACTACTTTCAAAAATTGGAAAACTGGAAAAGTAAAAAACAGATGTACGACACAAAACAGTAAACAAAACTGTTTACGCGAAATGAATTACTACCAACGAACTCTGCAAAACTGGGTGACCTTTGATCGGTCACTGATTTATAAATAGGGCCTTGGTTTTAACCCACGCTGTGTTCAATAAGTGAAATACAGGTAGCTATTGACCTTGAATAGTATAAATAGTTAGTAGCAGAGAGACCGTCAAAATTCAAATCTCGCGCGGGGTGTGTATCGTTCTGGTCTCTAACAAATGAGGCGAGGAGAGATCCTTGCTTGTTTTCTCCCTTTCAGCCCCTCTTTCAAGGAGAAAAGGTCATGGAAACGGGGCCAAATTGTGAAGATCACAAGTACCACTCCGCCCCACCCCACCGACCTCACAATAAACTGGACGCTCCATTGGCAAGAGTGATATTCGTCTTGTGTAAACTGAATTGAACTGCTCATTGCAGTGAAGGTGAATCACAAAGTGAACAGTGTCGTTTAACGGAGTACTGGTTGTGTGGGTATACTCCAACTAGCATACCTGAAGGTCATTTTATAGCCCGCCATATATTGCTGTTTCTAAATGCTAATTGTGCAGTGTAAAACCCAAATTCAAACCCACCGTCTAAATTTGTCTCTCTCTTCATTTTGTCTTCCAGAATATGATTACTATGTTCGACATGAAAACAGAAACACCAATCGAGAGACGAATCGTGGGGCGTAATATTGATTGTTATTAACTCGAAAGACCGACTGTTTTTGTTTCACTGTTTTGTACAAGGGACTTGTCTCACGCACGCCAAGATTGGCAACATTGTATCGTTTCCGTTTAGACTCACGTGACTGTTGACAATACACGTCATCTCTCGAACTTGTGTCCTTCCTTGTGGATTTATACGACGACTGTTGTTCCGTGTGTACGCAGTTAACTGTTGTGCTTCCTTTTCAACCAGTTCGATCCTGGTGTAAACAAGGATAATTCGACATTGCTCGTGTAACTTCAGTGAGTCTGGTTCGTCCATCCCCCTGTTTGTATACCAGTAAAGTGATGACCCTGCCAGTAGAATATGACGAAGCGTTCCGCCGACGACTTCGCTTCTTTACCGAAAAGCGTTTCGCTCACTGATCAACTGAGACGCCTATTATCCCAACTAATGACCCTTTCATCTTACATCATCACTGGAGGATTTGTTCAAGCACATTCAGCCCCCACCATCTCTGCTCCCGACAAATTTTGTTTCGGAGACGACTTTTCCCTGTGGGTAGCCGATGCAAAATCTATGTGGATTTGTTTCTCCTCGTCGTGCTTTGGAGAGTCCTCTTTTCACTCCTGGATACAGATGCTCGTGCTCTTGTACTGCAAGATGACATCCTGGATGAGGAAATCACGGACGATACGTTCAGTCAGCTACGATTCACCCTCACTACGAGCAAGAATCCCATGCTTCTACAGTTCCAGTTTCAAACTAGAGTCCAAAATCCCGACGTAGCATTCGATGTTTATGTACGCACACTCCGCCGATTGGTGAACCACGCGTTTTTTGAGCTGCCACGGGAGACCCGGGAGGAGAAAGTACTTCATCAGCTACATGTGGGTGTTCGGAACGCCGGCCTGATCCGAAAGTTACACCGCTACAGACCGCTGACTGTTCATCAGGTGATCGATACCGCGCAGGAGGAGGAACAATTGGAAGATGTTATACGCTAGTACCAGCTATCGGCACCGTCGTGTGCCATGGCTGCCGGCCGTTCCAGGACACCTCATGGTTACAGCCGCCCACCACAGCCCAACTCCGGACCAGCAGACGCCAGCGAGGTCGCCGCCGAGTTCCTCGTTGGTCAACAGAGCGCGGCAACTGTGATTACTGCAGCTTATTTGGGGGACAGGCCCAGTTATGCGGACACAACGACCCAAGTGAGTCCCAGAGTATTGAAACCACCGTACCCATTTTCCCGTTTCGTGATATTTCACTGTCCACCCAGTCACTTTCAATCGATGTCCTATTATGGGGTAAGAAGGTACAAGCTCTAGTAGATACAGGAGCAGCCTATTCTCTGGTGAAATTGACCGCGGTTCTGCGGCATGCTAGAAGTATCCCGACACCCTGTAGGAATTTGATTGCCGCGAATGGAGCGCAAATCGAAACACATGGTTCGGTCATTGCGTCACCCCAGTTAGGCGACCTGCAGGTCCAGCAGCAGTCGATTGTCACACCTCAACTTCCTTGGGAGGTTATAATAGGTGTCGACCTCCTCCGAACACAAGGCGCCGTGATCGACATAACAAGCTCACATATGAAAAAATGAGACAAATTACGAAACTTTGGTGTGGTTGCTATATTCAAAATTATCAGAAGATAAGTAATTTTGTAGAAAATTTAAAGTCTATGGGGTTACTAGGAAATATTTCTTTTGTTTGTAAGGAAAAGTGTACAATTGGTTCCTAAGTTCATTTATTCCAGTTTATCGAGCGGTGCCTCAAGGGTTGAAATATCAGGTTTGACGTCAGGTTTGAGATTCTGCTCTAATTCAATAAATCACATTATTGTTCACTGTTCGTCAAAAGTCGTAGATATTTCTGGCATCGGATGAATTCAAAAGATTTTTTATGCATCAGGAAATTGATGCATTGATGTTGTAATCTGAGATTTATGCATAACTTGATTATAATATGTGCTCACTGGCGACAACAGACGGAGTAGCATTTTCATTTTCTAGGTTCCGTTAGTGATTATGACCAATATAAAAGACTACCGTACGGTAATTACATTGTATTACCTCCAAAAAGCAATCCAGAGTGATCTCTGGAATTGATGATGAACATATAAATAAATATTCTTATACTAGGAAGTCGGGAGTTCAATGAAAAACATTTAAGCAAAACTCCTCTCTTCGGATTTTACTACTTAATTATCGGAAATGGCATCTTTAAACATAAAATTAACAGCGGCCAGTTCCCATTAGTTTTAAGGTAAAAATCATTGAGAACCACAATTTTACTTTTTCTTTAACTTTAGCCCCATCAAATCTAGTATACGAACAGGGGGATGGACGAACCAGACTCACTGAAGTTACACGAGCAATGTCGAATTATCCTT